CGTGAAAATACGGTACCTTTCAGCATTTCAATCTTTTGCCTGCCTACTTGTTGCCTGACCTGTTTTCTGCCTTTTTTCACAGAGCCTGCCTGATCCCTTATCTGATCATGTCTGCCTGCCCTGAATCCAAACCAGGTTTGCCTCTGGACCCCTGCATCAGTTCTGCCTTGGATTGCCTGCCAGTGAGCCCCACTGGCAGGCCCACTCAGTCAGTGAGTAACCGAGTCTGCCTAACCCCTTCTGCTTCTCTGAACCTGCCAGTTAACGGACCCTGGATCGGACCTGGACCTCTCTTCTGGATTGCCCCTCTGTACCTTTGCTTGGACCCGATCACTGGAATCAGTAAACTGTCTCTGGAGCTCATCGGCCTCAGTCCTCAGCAAACCATCCGCCGCTCAATGGCCACTGCTTCCACAAGCCCCTTCCTCTTACGGACTCCTGCCCCGGACCCAACACGGAGCCAACCGCCCACTCTGAGACCCAGTAACAGGTTTGTGATCCAGCCTCACCCCTTCTCTGGTTTTCCTCTTGCTGATCACTAACCTGTTGTCTCCGCCACAGGGGATTTCCTGACTGAGAGCTGCCTGCACACTAGGGGTGTAAATAATAATCGTTTTGTATCGATGCATCGATCCGAAAGCCGACGATCCGATGCATCGACACGTCCGCAAGATATTCGATTCATGTTTTTTTTCCCTCCGGTCTATTTTTATCCATTTGCTCCTGGGCGTAATTCTCCTCCCGTGCTGCGGTGGCACTAAACCTATTTTGCCCTCCTACCGCGCTTCCTGGTTATACTCTTACAGCAGTGTGTTGCAGCAAGCTTCACACAGACATTTTTAAATTATGCTCAATATTGAAGCGTGGTCTGAGCTACACGCTGTGGGTCTAGATACGGCCGAGGCGGCGAGGAAGTGGGGGCGAGTTTAGTCCGATGACGGAGGGAAAAAAGAGCGGAGATTCAGCTGGAAAAAGGGTCCCAGCGTTCTCGCGCACCTCGCTCTTCTAGCGGGTCAAACTTCACGAGTTGTTTTCCCCAATTTCGGTCATAAAAACAAAACAAGCCGGCCTCCTGTCTGCTGCACTCTTTGCGGTCAGCTACAATCTGGGAGAGGTGCAGCGGAGCGTCTCTCAAGGGGGCGGTGACGTCGACACTCTGAAGCCTTCTTCTTCTTCTTTTTTTTAATGGCGGTTGGCAAACAACTTATAGGTGCATTACCGCCACCTTCCAGAATGGAGTATGGACCAGACAAACTATTATATTCTCCCTAAAATACCCGTTCTTCTTAGAAAATTAAAAATACTCCCAAAAACTACATCCCCAGATGACCTTTGAAACAATTCCCTTATATGTAGTTTATTTTTATTCCTGTCTAACTCTCTAAGCAACATCTCTCTTTCCTGAGTATATTTATTACATTCTAAAAAAATATGTTGGACAGTTTCTCTAGAGCCAAGGTATTGCATTGAACTCATTACACTGATATTGTGCAGTATTTTTGCAGTATTTTTGCAGTATTTTTTGATGCAACTTTTCTACTTCTGTTATTTCCTGTTGTTTCTAAAGAAAATGCATAATGATATTACAGCTTTCATTGATTTATTTCAAACTTGAAACTTTGTTTAGCCTGTAAGGTGTAAAAAAAAAAATAATAATAAAAAAAAAAAAAATAACCGATTAATCGATTAATCAAATCGAATCGTGGTGTATTCTTGAGTATCGAAAATAATCGAATCGTTGGGTCAGGAAATCAATACTGAATCGAATCGCCATGATGGATGTGATTTACACCCCTACTGCACACTCCCTGTGCCACACAGTCATTAATAAAATCCGTTGCATTCCACTGACCTGTCTGAGTTGTTTCCTGGGTCCAATTTCCTGTACGTTACAGATTCTCCACACTTCAACTGCCAAGTTCATTATACGGACAACATGAGAACCACAGCACAATTAATAACGATCTTACAGCATGTTAAATGAGAATTTCTAATATAAAGCTAAGACTTGGTGTCCAATCTTTGATTGTTTACTGTATATTCCATTTGTCTGTAAGGGTCCACGGATAAAACGTAATCCAGCATATTTGTAATAAAAACATTCCATGATGAGACACACATCAGTGTGTGAGTGTGTGTGTGAATGGCTGAATGAATGTAGTGTAAAGCCCTTTGGTCAAGTCTCCTAACTTGAATAAAGGCGCTATATAAGTACATGCCATTTACCATTTACATAAAGTCAGTTTTTACCACCAGAAAAGTTTGATCCTTATAGCTAATACTGACCGTCTTGCTAATTACCCTAGCTTCGAAAAAAGGCTTTCTTTGCTCCAGTTTACACAAAAGAGTGAACAAATAGCTCAAAAAAGGAACAAACAACCGTGGGAGTACTTCCTATGCTTCAGTGTAATGGCAGACCGCTAGCCAAACAGAGTATGCATTACGCTTGGAGCTTCCATAAATAACATCATGGCGGCATATATAGAAAGTGTTTGATTTACAAACGATTAGCCAATCCACTTTCGACAGTAGGCAAAATGGATTGTCTATATTGTCAACTAATAATTCATTTTAGATTAATCTGGACACTTAATTTCTGAGAAAAATCCTCTTTAATACCTTTAAGCAACTGAAGAGTGAGAGCTACAACGCAAGCAGCAAAAACACTTTTTAAAAAACAAAAAATTTCAAAGAAAAAAGAACATTGTTTGGTATTATGTGTTTGCTTATATCATTTTCTTTTTAGTTAACATGATTTACTCTTTAAATGACTGTTTACATTGCTAACATACTGTACAAATTAATACCTAAATGATCATAAAACCCACACAAACAATCAATCCCATCACAATACTTATAATATTATATAGCCTATCAGTCTCAGGATATGGTCAGGGTAAGAAGGGCTGAAGCTTGGTTAGTGTTTCTGTCTGCTAACTCCTATGCCATGAACAACCCGCTTTCCGTCATTGAAAGAACTCCCTATATTATCTCTCATGAGAAATGAGAATGCAATTTTTGCAGTCAGATTTTCTATGGGGTTTGTTATAAAATCAATTCAGGGATTTATTTGGTTTACTGAAATAAATCCCAAGCCAAAATTTGAAAACCATGACTTAACACAGTTAAAACACCCATCTGGAACCAAAAAACTTTAAAAACATCTGCTCATGAAATCTTACATCAAGGTTCCTTAGGACGGTGAGAGTATGGAGAATATATGAAGAGATAGACAGAGGTTGAAACCTTTTTCTATATGAATCCAAAATGCTAATATGGGACAATTTTTTTTTCAAATAAATCTCAATAAAACCTTAAAATTAAACATTAGCTTGTTTTAACAAACCATTAATTGTCATTAAAGGTTTCCTACAAATCAATCTATCCCAACCTCTTATTGATGAATCCTTCGTTCCTTCTTAGCTACATCAAGATCTCTGATCATTGCTATAGCAACAAGATTCTTCTAAATGATCTTTACAATCCTTGTGTCAAAGCAGTCTAACTGCACTGAGTTGCATGACCTTTTATCTGAAACAACATCGAGCAGGTGCCATAACATCCAGCTACACCTTTAGATTTCAGATTCCCTGCTTTATGAAGAGCTTATTCTTTTCATAATAGTTTGAGGCCACAGTGTGTAAATGCGTCTTTGTAATGTCCTGTGGGAAAAAAGGATAACTTGGAAGTGAACATTTAGCGTTCTAAAGGTTACAGTTCTAGTATCATGCCTGACACTTCAAGTTATATTGTTCGACTTAATGTGACACACCAACAGAAACCAGTGCATCATTGTGAGGTGAAGGGAAAATATCATCTGGGATACATATAAATCGTGTGGTATACAAAAGTTTCACCCCCTTTTTTTAGTCGAACACCTCTGAACTAATTCCATTGCACAGTGTGTTTAGTATCACAGAGGTTTGCTAAAGAAAAAACAAAAAAAAACCTTAAAGCCCAAACATTTAATGGCTAAGGGACACATTTGGCAGGTCAGGGAATCAAACCCTTGTAGAAGAATGATGAGACAACAAAATCATGGAAGAAATTCATGATATCCTATTAGCAATTTGGCACTGGTCATGTAGTGCACATATGGAAGGTAATGCTTAGGTCACAGCAGACTTAAACTATAATACCTCAGATCACCATGAACATGCCGTCCATACCACTACCAGAGAGCAGCAACATCAGACTGAAGGAATACTTTATATCTCAAGCAATAGAAAAATGGGTCATATTTATGGGGATAATGGATAGAGTTGAAAGAAAGACAAGCCTTAAAATATAAAAAAACAGTTTCAGTTCCACTTTTATTCATAGCTTTCTGTGTTTTCAACTTTTTGGTTTCATTTCCATTTTGTGTCAGTGAATTTTGATAGTATTTGAGTTCTTAGGTGTTGTTTGCCCTCTGCTGCCTTCTTGTGTCAGTCTCTTTTTTCCCCTAGCTCCCTTCTAGTCTCCTCTGTCCAAACCTGCTCCCAATCTGCTGATAGTCTGGTCTTTGTTCAGTCTCCCATTTTTACACCTCATGTTCAGTCACTTACTGGTTCCTTGTTGTAGTTTTGTTGCTTTGTCGTCTCTGCTCCCCGTGTCCTTGATTTTTTTTTCAGTATTGTATGTCTCTGCCTACTCATCTATGCATTTGGGTCCTCAAAAAAACTCCACACAACCTTGACAGACCTGAGTCTGGGTCAAGTTTTTACCTTACAGAAGAATGACTCTAAACATACTGCCAGAACTGGTTTGGATAAAAACGTGGGCTACTAATCTGTAGGAGCAGTCAACACAAAACAATGAAGAATCAGTGGGAGCTGATCAACAAAACATTTCAGTCATTTAAAGAAGAATCATAAGTCCTAATATCAGCCTTCACACTTGCAAAGCTGGCTGATCATATGTCATGTACACACAGTGACTTAGTCTGATTTTTACACATAATTCAAAATGTGTTGAACAATTGGTGTTACATCAAACATATCAGGAAGATATATACTTACCTCTTTCATTTGCTGGTGCCACATAAATGAAACTTCGGCATTTTTCACCTGAAAAACAATGTAAATGAGACATTTAACTGACAGGCAAAGGCAGCTTAGACATTCCTACAATATAGCTATAAATAAAACGGGGAAGTCATTGGTATTCTGGCATATCCTGCTAGATTGCTATGGGGAGAAACAGGTGGACTGTGTCATAAGGGATACACCTCTGATATGAAAACAAAAAAAGAAGAAATCTCAGAATTATCCAATTTGTCCAGAGATTTGCTTTCTGTCTCAATCCTTCCCTTTGTGGAAGTCTGTAGTAGAAGCATTGTCAAGACAAAATAAATGCTTTCCTGGTATCTAAAGTGAGAAAGGCTTTCTGTAATGTCAGATAGACAGATCCATAATCAAAGTTTCACAAATCTCTGTTGAACGGTTCTGTTTTTCAAACAATAAACTAAGAGGCCAAAAATTAGTAGTGTTTAAAGAATAGGGCTACTTTGCCCTTCATAGATCATTTTCTGTAAGAATTGTCTTCAAAGGGTTTCATTTGTTTAATGACCATTTTATCAGAAATAAATTAATTATCAAAATATCTAATTTTAAGTTTGCTTTTCCAAGTCCAGATGATTAACATGTTTTAAGCGTTTAAAATTCACTTTACATGATAAACTTGCATTTAAAAATAGTTGTTAAACCAATGTCACCAAATGTTGGACGTTTTTTCAATATTCAGTGTTTATTCCAACAGTATATATTCATATAAATTGCTCCTGACTTCTAAGAACACGCTTTTGTTCAATCTATCTGTCACAGTCTTGGTTCTGATATGTTTTCTTTTGAGTATTCAGTTTTACTTTGCTCAATACTTTCCAGTTTTCTTGGTTTAATTCTTATTTTTTTATGTTTTCTGGTTACAGTTCAGTTCTAAGGTTATTTGTTGCACTCTGTTGCCTTCTTTTGTTGGTCTCCTTTTTCCTAGCTCCTTTCTAGACTCCTGTCTTCAAACCTGCTCCCAATCACCTCATTAGTCCTCTCTTTGTACAGTCTTCCATAAATACTCTCCCTGTGCAGTTCCTCAGTGCTGTTCCTCGTCTTACTTCATCATACCTTGTCTTACTTTGTGATTGTTTTCCCCCTGATGTCTCCAAGGTTCTGGTTTGTTTTACTTTTTTCATGTTGGATTTTTGGATTCCTGCTCCAGTTGTTTGTGAACCTCTCATTAAATCTACAAAAAACTCACCTCTGGCTCCCTGTCTCAACATTTGGGTCCTCAAACCTCAACCAAACTCTGACACTATCTCTCATGTAGCTCTTTACTCCTCAGAAATCTCCTATGTATTTTTCAACAGAATTGTGAAAAAACACTAAATAAATAAATTGTTCAACTTTCAAAATCCAATTATTCACCCCCCCCCCCCCCCCCCCCCCCAGCTTTATATTGTAATTACACTGCCATAAGTACACAGCAATGAAATTAACTCTCTGCATTTAATCCATCCGTTTGGGGTGCAGTGGGCTGCCATTGCGTGGCGCCCTGGAAGCAGTGAGGGGTTAAGGGTCTTGCTCAGGGACCCAGAGTGTCAGTCCGTGGGAGGGGGGCTTCAACTCAGAATTTCTGGATTCCAAGTGCAATGCCCTGAACCACTAGACCACCACTACCTCTAATTTTTTTTTCTAATAGATTCTGTTTTCTCTTTTTTTGTGTGTGTGTGATTGTTTTCCATCAAATTGTAAATTTTTGCTTCGTTATAGACTCTTTATTACTACTTTATTATATCTTCTTTAAAATATTGCTCTATTTTGTATAATTACGGGATGATTGCTTGTAATTTAATTGATTTTGGTCGAAGTTCTATTTTGCCTGGGATCTCAGACTGTAGGTCAGCCAAAACATTTCCAACATGTTAACATCAGTCTTGAGCGTCAGGAGCGGGTTTTCTCCTCTGATTTACCAGCACGCTGCAGTTTATAAGATCGACACATCAGAACATAAAGGAGAGGTTTGTATTGAACAAAGAAAATACTCAATTTGATCACATTTAACGAAACCTAGAAGGATATGTAGTGACTAGTATTAGTCCGGTTATCAGTTTTTATACACTTCTAACACTTTCAACTTTTCTAAAATCAAAATGATTTTGGTTCCACTTAAGATCAACATGGTTTTCTTTAAGTTTGCCGCTGTGTTCCAGGATCTGTGACGCAGCGCTCTGCGCGCACAGCCCGCGCGCCATCCCCAGCTGATCCAGCCGCATCCAGACGGGCTCACCTGTCATGTTGATGTTCTGCTCGCAGGAGAACCAGATGCCGGTGTGAAACCTCCTCATCACATACTTGTCCTCCCCGGTCTCCCAGATGTATTGCACCAGACGCGTGTCGTTGATGTTGGAGCTGTTGAACATGATGCAAAACGCCTGCTTGGTGGTGACCGGACCGGTGCAGAACGGCTTCACCACCTTCCGCGTCCCCTCGCACCAGTAGCTGGTGGTGAGAGCCGACACGGCGAGCAACAGGGCCAGGAAGTTCAAGGTGAGAGCCAGGGAGGCTCTGCGCCGCCGGTCGATCCCCATGACAGTCGGAGCGCAGTTAGAGGAGTGAGGGCTCCTGGAACTTAATCCTCACCCACCTCCCACTGTGTGTGACACCGGATTCAGGCGACTTCCTCTCAAATCCTCATAATCCCGTTATTCCCGTTAACGTCCCCTCCGCTAATTAATGTCTGCTTCCATCGGATCGACCATCACATCTGCTGCTCTTCCAACGCAGTTTCTCTCATATGTATCCCACACACCCACTCCCACCTCCACACACACCCAACCTTATCTGAGCTTCAACCTTATCTGAGCTTCATGCCATTGAGAAAATGAGGAGCGGGTCTCCTGTGAACCACGACGATGCTGACTGAGAATAAAGATACCCACCCATGTGTGAATTCTGGTCTGGCACATTTGGGCAGACATCCAGGGGGTAATTAAGTTGGGGTGCAAAACCAAGGTAAAAGCGTTTCTCCTTGGCTCTACCTTTCTCATACCTCATCCAAAATAGTAAGGTTATCCTGAGCTATTTTCTATATATATGCTGCTATATGTTTAAGCTGCTGGAAGACATGGGGACCACTTTTCCAACATGTTATTATCCATAAGCGTCGTTAGACCTATTTAAGGGTGGCTTCAGTCACCCTTTCTTTGGCATTAGCCACCCTATAATTATTTTGCGATTTAAAAAAAAATATATTTTTTTTTTCTGTATTTATTTTTTCCTCATATTTTCCCAAAACAAATGCAGTAAAGCACCGAATATAGGCCATAAAGAAGACAAGTTAATCTGAACAATCATAGGCGTAACTTCCTTAAGGACTGGTGTGGACATGTCCCCACCAATATTTTGTACACGTATTTTGCTTTCGGTGCTGTGTATATCTGATTAAAACCCCATTCATGCCGCTCCTCAGAAAGAAAATAAAAAAAGTTCTCCCCGCTGCTCACCGTCCACAAACCCCGACAAAAAAAACTCAGAAAAAAGAATCTGTTGCCTCTCGCTTTCTCCCCATCACCCCCCCTCCGCCCTCTCCCCATAACATTTGAATTGAAGATATCCGCGGGTGACGGGTCGGGTTCGGTAGTCATCCTAACGGGTTCGGGCGGGTGCGGGTTGGTAAAACTCGACCCATGCAGGTCTCTAAGCTACAATACATTCAGTATCGTTGCCATAGAAACAGACAACAGCGCCAATATATCAGAATTATACTAAAACACACGCAAATAATTTCCCAAATAAAAAACAGGACTTTCAGTCCATTACAGTTTTCCGTTTTTAGAGGGTTGTTTATTTTGCGTTTATTAAGTGATGGCTGTGGTATATTAGCTTTCACTGCTATAAGCTTTCGCAGCAGTGATTGATTAATTTAAACACCTGCTCTACTGATGGTCTATCGGAGTTGGTGTTTAGGTTGAACATAAAGAACACCTTTTATTTCAAGCTTCTTGTAGCTACTGTTTTAATCCCGGCTTTACTTAAAACTTTTTCCTGACTTTAATAGTGTTGCCATTCAGTAGCAAGTACTGCATCCCTTTTTCTTTTATATGTACACGTACATTTAAGATTTAGCGTGTTAAGTTGACAACTCATGAGCAAGCTGCTTTTTGCAATCTAGCAGGAAGGTAAGGATAGGATCTTGCAGGTGTGACGTCACTCTGCAGGGGGTCCAAAGATAAAAGATTTAAACAATTTTGGCATTGGAATTTCAGATTTAAGGGAGTTAGAAAGTTCACTTAGTAAAAGTGCAAACAATAAATCTGATTACCGATTACTTTTAAGCTGGTTGAACATACTGCGACAGACTGGTGACCTGTCCAGGGTGATCCCACCTCTCACCCAGAACGTGGCTGGAGATATGCACCAGCACCTCCTGATCCCACTGAGGGATAAGGGTAAAGAAAATGGATGGTTGAACATAGTCCGCTCTCCCAGATTCTATCAAATCAGTATTGATACCCTCAGGGGCGGATTTAGGAAATTTGGGGCCCTAGGCAAAGACAGGCAGGGGGCCCCCTGAGAAGTAAACCCATAAAACAGACCCATTCTACAGATAGAGAAATGTTAATAGAATAGACATCCATTATTTGTTCTAGGTTTTGTCCCTCTCTTCTTGTCCCTTTTTCCTCTCTATTTATCAGCGTTCTGATGGCATTTTAGCCAAAGGATTTTTATCAAAAACATAATTAATGTGCACAAATAAGGATTAGTTGTATTAACCATACTGGAAACAGAGTTTTATGGGGCCCCCAGGAACTTGGGGCCCTAGGCAACTGCCTAGTATTGCCTAATGGTAAATCCCCCCCCTGGATACCCTGCTGGTGGATGTTCTTGACAGAAAGACGGAGTTGCTCAATCATATTCTGCTTAAGGTCCCATAAGATCTTGTCCGAGTCCTGGTTTAAAAGTAAATTAATTTTAAAAAGTGACCCAAAATTGACTGTCAATAAATGTTCTACAAAATTGATATATTTATTTGATTTCTTTGATTTGTACTGTCTGTTTAGATTTATGTGATATTTTTTGCACAAAATATATAAGTGAATATTGTAACAGTTATGTTTTCAACTGTAAGCATTAAATTGATAAATGTTATTCGCATTTTTTTGGCTTTATCCTTTCCAACAAAAAAAAAAAGGCGTCGCACAGGTAGCTCCCTTTCCTTATGAGCCGTCCCCAACAACTTTCAACACAAAGTTACACCCTTGTCTTAGACAACGCCTTAGCAGGTGCACTGAAAAAATTCGGCGCGTGCTATGCGCGCATTATCTTCTAGGGGCTGAGCCACCCTTGTCTCTTAAACCTAGAGACGCCCCTGTTATTATCAGTCTTGAGTGTCAGGAGCTGGCTCTCTCCACTGGTTTAATAGAAACAGTAGAAACACAGTAGAATATAATAGAGTAGTTTATACTCAACAATGGACGCACACGTTTATACAAATGTAACAAAACCTAGTGAAATTGCAATCTGTAGTGACCATTATTGGTCCAGGTCTCTCTTTAAAAAAATTATAATATTTCTAAAACCAACCTTTCCAAAATAAAGATTATTTAGGCTCCACCAAATATGGAAAAAATTTTTTCTCAGAGTTTGTGACAGGATATCGCAACGATCTGAGTGCACAGCCCACACAGTGACTAGATTCAATCAGCTGGTTTTCATTGATAAAAACTTAATGTGCATTGAGATAACGTTTGGTGAATTTGCATTATATAAATAAGCTATATGGAGCTGAATTGAATAAACACTATAAAAAATATGGTATGTATTTTTGGTTGTTGTGCAAGACAGATGATGATATTATAGTAAATGATTAGTAAACCTTGGCTACAGTCGGGATGCTGTCTGATTGGTCATGCATTTCTGCCCTGAGTTAATCTTTTCTCATAGACTCTTGCAATAAGTCATCCACGCTCCTGTGCAAGAAAAGCATATATTGTGTTATTTTTAACATAGCACCACCATACACAGGGAAGCAGCATCACAAAGTAGGCTTGAAGTTGAAAGAGAAAGAAGCAATATGGGGGAGTTGAGCAAGTACGACCCTAAACACAGTTGCTTACCTAGACCTAATCTAGACAGATAAAGCTTGGCTAACTACATGTGTACAGGCTGTAGCTTTATTACTCTTTCTCTGATTCTTTTCCTTAATCTTGAGATCTGACTGAGAATGGGTTACAATAGGTATGACTGATTTAAAGCACTTTTCAGATAATGAAGCAAAGCTTACTGGGAGCTTACAAGCTTAGAGGAGATAAACAGGTGAATATTATCTACATAAGTGTCAAAAAAAGTAATTGAAAAAGACAGAATGATCCATGTGGAAACCTGGCCAGATTTGAGAGGCTATTTTAGAATGGACTTTGTGTTCTATAGCGGAAGTCTCCCCAAAAAAGTAATAAAAACTAATCAGAGCCAGAACTAAAAACAGAAGACTGTTGATTATTCAACAAGTTACAGTCAAATTAAACTCTAAAATGCTTTGTCTAATGCTGAGACACAATTAGGTGTTTGGAGAAAGTTTTGGTTTAGAGGTGTGTGCACTTATAATTACACTTTTAAAGTATATTTTCCCTAAACTATGTTTGCTTTCTCACTTAAATTAGAAGAATTAATCTCACATCAAAATTACAAAAGGATTTTAAATAATCTACCTTTCTTTATGTGCTTTGAATTTTACCGGAAGGGAGGACATCTAAGAGAGATGCCATGCATTTCTGTGCTTCGATATCTACCGTAGTTTATTTTTGACCAATTTGCCACCATAGAAGGTCAATCTACAGGTGCTGGTCATAAAATTAGAATATCATGAAAAAGTAGATTGATTTCAGTAATTCCATTTAAAAAGTGAAACTTGTATATTATATTCATACATAACATACAAACTCATATATTTCAGATGTTTATTTTGTTTAATTTTGATGATTACAAATGACAACAAATGAAAATCTCAAATTCATCATATCAGAAAATTAGAATATTACTGAAGACCAATAAAAACAAAGGATTTATAGAAATGTTGGCCAACTGAAAAGTATGAACATGAAAAGTATGAGCATGTACAGCACTCAGTATTTAGTTGGGCCTCCTTTGGCCTGTATTACTGCAGCAATGCGGCGTGGCATGGAGTCGATCAGTCTGTGGCACTGCTCAGGTGTTATGATAGCCCAGGTTGATCTAATAGTGGCTTTTAGCTCTTCTGAATTGTTGGGTCTGGTGTATTGCATCTTCTTCTTCACAATACCCCATAGATTTTCTATGGGGTTAAGGTCAGGAGAGTTTGCTGGCCAATTAAGAACAGGGATACCATGGTCCTTCAACCAGGTACTGGTAGCTTTGGCACTGTGTGCAGGTGCCAAGTCCTGTTGGAAAATGAAATCTGCATCTCCAAAAAGTTGGTCAGCTGCAGGAAGCATGAAGTGCTCTAAAACTTCCTGGTATGTGGTTGCGTTGACCCTGGACCTCAGAAAACACAATGGACCAACACCAGCAGATGACATGGCACCCCAAACCATCACTGACTGTGGAAACTTTACACTGGACTTCAAGCAACATGGATGAAGTGCCTCTCTTCTTTTCCTCCAGACTCTGGGACCTTGATTTCCAAAGGAAATGCAAAATTTACTTTCATCAGAGAACATGACTTTGGACCACTCACCAGCAGTCCAGTCCTGTTTCTCTTTAGACGCTTCTGACGCTGTCTGTGGTTCAAGAGTGGCTTGACACAAGGAATGCGACAGCAGAAACCCATGTCTTTCATACGTCTGTGTGTGGTGGTTCTTGAAGCACTCA